AACCCTGTCCACTGTGTGGTGGTGCTCTTCAGGCTTGTCCCAAAGGTGAGCCCACATGAAAATAAATCACTTTTGGTTCTTAGCTCCGGGCCGATCCCGAAAACGCAGATGTGTGCTTGCTACCCCGTCCGCAAAGAGGGCATCTTACGATGTTGACCTGGACCGAAGCACAGATTACCAGCACAATGTGTCCCTTAATTCTGTGTGCGTCCGAGTTTTCGGGTCCACAGAGGAACTACTCGACAGCCGTGAGTCAGTGTCTGACAACTAGGACTAATCTGTAGAGCGACCGATTTATCACAAAGCAAATAATTGCGGACAAGTTCTTCGTGAGGCAGCTTGCCACAGGAACGACACACCGCCCAAATCACGGTGTGATACCGCATCCTCATGTTTTGACTTATCAGATCTCAAAATTTCAAGACGTCCATTTGGAGTTGCACCTGTTCATCTGAGACGACCGAACCTGTCGATGTGAAGCAATTTTGTCATTGACGTTGAGGAAACAAGTCGGTACATTGGGACTCATGGATTTCAGTGTTGGGGAGAGATTGAGTACTGTGCTGTCAGTCCATCAAGATCACTCTAATCGCTCGGTTGAACGGCTGTCCACGAGCGGAGGTCTCGGAGTTCACTGTACAACCGTGCATGGTCCCACGGTTATTTCACTTGAGAGGGAACACCCAAGTGATCTACCATTATTGTTCTCTCGTACAATGCAATCCGATTGAAGCACAGTTGGTTTGCCATGCTAGGAATAATTCGCAACCGTTTGCTAAGGCATGTGAGCCTACCCCCATCGTAACAGTCATTGCTGACATTGTCTTATGTGCTTCGTTTACATTTGGTTCGCAAAGAGAAATCGATTGGGGAAACTCCATACAGGTGATCACTAAATGAGCGTATGGAGTCAACCAAACTAACGTGACCACGGGTTAAAACGGAGTTCGGTACTGTGAACTATCCTCGATAGATGAGTGTGTGTCCTTGGGCTTTACTTCACACACGGATAAAACAAGGTTTCGCCCATGCACGACTGGGTTTGCGCACACTGAGTCACAAAATGGATGGATCACTGACTGATTTTGTTGGTGTACGAGCACTCGGATAAGCTGGAGAATGAAATTGGCCAAAATCACGTGTAGGCAAATAGAGGGTACACGTGAACATTGATCTCCCATGGAAACGTGCAGTTAACCGGCGTTTTGTCTGTCGTGTGAGCAGACTTGGGGATTTTGACGGCGTCCTCGTCCTGTGAGCGAAGCCACTTTGTTGTGGACTGCCGAAGAGTATTGCACTGCTGTTTCATCCTCACTGGGAATCCTCAGCAGTGTGCATCTCACCGAACTCCACAGGGGTCCTGTCTAGCTGGGATGCTAAATACACTGATGATCAGCCGTTCGCGGTCGAACGCTTAGGTCTTCAATCAATTAGCCGGGCGGTCGTGGGTTCAAGACTCCCCACCGGAGAACGTGCAGTTAACCGGCGTTTTGTCTGTCGTGTGAGCAGACTTGGGGATTTTGACGGCGTCCTCGTCCTGTGAGCGAAGCCACTTTGTTGTGGACTGCCGAAGAGTATTGCACTGCTGTTTCATCCTCACTGGGAATCCTCAGCAGTGTGCATCTCACCGAACTCCACAGGGGTCCTGTCTAGCTGGGATGCTAAATACACTGATGATCAGCCGTTCGCGGTCGAACGCTTAGGTCTTCAATCAATTAGCCGGGAGTTCGTGGGTTCAAGACTCCCCACTGGAGCTTCTAGGGATGCGCTCTGATATGAGCATGGGATGAGCTCTACAGTGCATCTCGACTTCTCAGAATAGTTTGGCACCAACGCAAGAAAAGGTCTCAACTGCAATCTAGAATGCACATAAATGAAATCATGAAGCTCAAAATGTGTAGTGATCTTGATTTTGGAAGGCCCCTGGAGAACACGGAATTTGCGTTTAGACACCTGCTGAATCAATTTTAGAGAAGATGCGCTCTCTGTAAAGCCCATTACAAATCTCATGAATGTGTGAGTCACTTGAACGGTCAGGGACTGTGATGTCAGCAAATGTGTGGCATAGCAATACAATTAATGCATATATTGCACGTATCCATACACGTTACTTGTAGTTCTGTTCCTGTTCAATCCAGCCCAGCGCTTCGACTTCCCTATCAAGCCGGTCCATCGAACCGCCTTCCAGTTAGTACAGTCAGTTGGCAGCCGAGCGTCCGCAGAACAGGTAACAGTCAATCACACGACAGTCACTTGCAATCAAATCACGACAGAGTCCAGAGGTGAGTGATAGTAAGACCGAACTGGCGAGCGAACGAACGTGCGTGTGTGTGCCGTATTCTTCTCAGTGATGACCGCTTTTGAGCTTATTTAGACATGTAAATTAACAACATCGTAACGATGGAACATGCTTGAATTTGAATTTGATCTCCGAGTTTAGTCCAACTTAGTTGGTTAATGTGTTTGTATAATCGAACGGACACCGGTCGTTTCGGTGTACACCTACCGTTCAACCAATGAAATCCTGATCAATATCCCGCGTCCTATCTCTCCCCTTGGTCTTGTAGTCAGCACTCATCTTTCCCCTTCGTCGTCAGCTTTGAGATAACACTGTAAGCGGGTGTTCCGACTAACCACTTTTTATCTTTCCTTCGTTTTACTTTATGTGACGCCAGTGCTGCCATTATGAATGGTGTTAAAGAGCCCAACCACCTCCTATCGAACTTACAAAAATGTGCTCTACGGGTGGACTGACCGTCTTCATATGAGTTGATCAATGTCATGTACAGTGCTTAATCTTGTGTGGACAAGAGCATGCTACCTCACTTCACCTGAACAGACAATCAAGCAGTATCTTTAGCTAGTAGAACACACAATTCAGCAGTATAACATAACAACCTAGGACGGTCTAGGAACCATAAAATTTCCTTGACAGTAGACTGTTTTGTTAAGGTTGAAAAGAGAAACTGCTAGCGGGAACTCACAGAAATCCCACACACACAGTGTGAGAAACACCTGTAATAAGCGTCCTCGAATACGCACTACATCAAATAGAGATTTGCCGGGTCCGTGGGGACTGCAGATGACAACACGATGACTTGGTACGATACAACAACAAAATAAATATCCCTGATGAGAACACTACTCGGAAGGACAAAACAGGGAGATGAAATCCCGGTGGTCACCATGGAAATGCAACCCGGCACGGTGGCGCCATTCTTTATATGATACGATAATAAGACGGGAAGTTAATTCACCGTGCAAATAGCTGTGTACCATCTCCCATCTCAGCCATCGTCGTCCGGGCATGTGAAACAAGCCATCATTCGGAATAGACGGGGTGGTTATGTGTCAAACAGGAGCATGAGCAATGCGGCGACACAGCCATCAGAACAGCAATAAATAGAGCTTCAATCCAGCACAATGACACATTAAACCGGCGCACACACCAACGCAAGCACACAAACACACTGGTTGAACCTCATTACCAACTGGTCTGAAGAAAACGTCAATCAGAAAACACGATAGCACAGTACTCAGAAGACAAACCCAACTAAATCCCGATTAATCGATAGAAAATTGACTGCGAAAATCCTTCAAAAACGATGTCCACACACCCAAAACATTGGTTTTTGATATCTTACTCTACAACGCTTTGTTTTGATTTCAAAGTTCTTGTAAAATATCCCATTTATCATTAGCTGAAACCAAGGGAAAACTAATATGATACCGTATGAAAACTAAGTGGCCAACGTATTGTCTGTCTCTCGGCTTATCTATCAACGTTTTTCTCATAGAGAATACTGCGAATTTCGTTAAAGTTCCTAGGGTATAGCAGAGGATATGTCTACAACCAAATTTATCAGAGAGTCACAGCCACTACTTAAATTGACGCCTAAAATATCCCAACAGAGGACGACACAGTGGTCAGCCCAGCGGACCACCTCGTCCGAGTGAGGATCTAACCAGGCTCCCATAAGAAGCGTTTGATTTCATGTTGCACATGGTCCACGTTGGGACCACGAATGTGCGGTTATGTACTCAAGCGTTTAGAGTAGGCGAAATCGAGTGTGCGTATGACGGGAACATGCAGGAAGTGCGTGAATTCGTGTGGTCATTCATAACCTCGGAAAACTTGGAGAGGTCTCGCAAGTTCGAGTTGTCGAAGCAAAACAGGTCCAGATATTGCAAATCATCGTGGACTATTTCTTCGGAGCTTCATTTATTCCAATATCCCCGATGTCATTCATGGTCACCGTCTGTCTGCACGTGCCACACAAGAAATCAAAGCAATCTGTGCACAAAAGATGCGATTTCTGCTCATATGATGGGACGAGATGATTACAAACAGTTGATCAGAATTCACCTTCTATTCTGATTCCGTTCTGGGCTTGTTGGTTTTGCAGAATCATAGGCACAACCTGAAGGTAGATAGCAACATGTGATAAAAATACTATCACCGTTAGATTCCTCACATTTTACATTTTTTCAATGAATCACCTCACAGGGATCCCGTCATTATTGAGTGAAACTCATCAAGGATTCAATTATTTTATTTCAAAATATTTGCCCCAACTATTTTTCACAGTGCTAGCTGACTAATGTTCCAAGCTGGCAACTCGTGTTTGTGACATTCTGAAAGAGGTCAATAATTCAAAGAGTGTCAGTCAAATTATTAGCTAGTTATCTATTTTCACGGTGATAACTAAGCAATATTTCAAGCCAGAAGCTGCGTTTGTGGCGTTCTAAAAGATACTACAATTATTCCGTGGAATAACTCAACTCCAGTGACCAATCCATCTTTAATGCCGAAAATTACAAATGAGATTCTACCGTGATGCGATTCTTTTGCATATTTTCCAGAGGTACCTGTGCTTCGACCGAACCTTTTCCTTCTCTTTAATGCCACCAGGGGAACTAGCGATCCTCTATCGCGTCCTGGGAGCTACCGACCTTCCGGTTGGTGAAACTGATCAGGTTCGGTCAATTAGTCAAGTGAATGCCAGATAGATAGTCTTTGTGAAGTTCTGTGTGCTGTATCGCGATAGACTCAACCATCAGACAAAATGCTGGGTGTTGATGAAGTTGGCACACTGCTAGAGTGCAATTAGGTAGTTATATTGCCACAATGTGGTTATATACGGATTCGCATTAACTTCTGAAGCAGAGGATGTCTCTTGGCTACATCGTGTCCAACAACGAGCGAGTCCTGGACCTAAACTGAATCGCGTTACCGTCAATTATTGACAGCACCCGTCACGCTTGCTCTAATAACCGCGATGGAGCTGCTGATGTCCGCAGCAGTACTCGAGAAGCTCGTTCTAGCGGGTCAGAAAGGGTCACACTTTACTGTGGAGAGCATCCGATATAAGAAGATGAGCCTCACTCATCTTACTCACTGATGTCATTATTCGAGGTACGACGTTCCATCATTTTAAGGGTCCGATATAAGAAGATGAGCCGTTATGCTGAAACTTATTTGAACATTAGTCTGGTTGGCCAACTACTTCTATCCATCTCGTTCTATCCACCTGTAGCATAAACGTAGACGATGAATAATCAGCCTCCTTCAACCTCGAAATTATGTGAGCACCTCCGTCGACTCGGGCGTTACCTGTAATCTGGTCTCGAAAACGCTTCTGCTGCTCTGCTTGGGGACAACGGTCGGGTCTTTAGTCTGTGCGCGTCCAACTTACTCGCGTCGTTCGAGACAACTCGGTTGAGACAACACAGATGTCCATTGAATTTAAAGTAACTGTTTCGTATGTAATAAATCCAAACATGAGTCTGACACCGAACGTTATAAATATCCTTTTGCAAACACAGTCGTCATCGTTTGAGAGGGCATAAACTCCTCTGGTGGCAGTCAATTCCCCGGATCAAGTTTACTCACCGATGCCACTATTCAACGTGCGACGTTCTATCATCTTTAAGCGTCTCTAGCGAATCTCCCTGATGGTCTGACAGGAATCTGACAGGATACCGATGAAAACTTGAACGTTACACAAAATCATGTTGAGCTATTCCGTTCGGTTTCCATGTCACTGTTCGGACATTATTTCGGGACAACAGTTACCTCCAGAATGTATAATCTCCAAAAATATCAGAGTTGTTTGTACGCCTCATTTGGCTTGGTAAAGAGGTCCAAATGTTGACCACAGTGGGCCCGCAGAACTGTCTGACAGGAATGTCATCTTTAGACTTCTTGGCGATGAAGCCACAAGCGGAGAAAGTATAGCTACAGGACGTTTAAGTCATTACCACCAGGTACAGCACTGTTGGAATCATCGTTTCAAACAGCTCAGTCTACATTATTGAAAATTACATCAAGGCCAGTTGAGAATTGGCCATTTATTGAAAGCCATCTGCAAACTCTCAGGGTTGTGGGAGATTCGGACTAAGACTGCGAGAGGTTACAGTGCGAATTCCAGATACTGAGTGAATTGCCTTGAAAACTCTGAACTGCGTGTTGCATCTGAGTCCACGACTGACCTTCAACAGTCAACACACTGATTACCTTTCACTTGTTCCAATTTTCGTTTTAATCGTCCAGTTTGGTTCAGGCGCCCAATCTCCAAATGGATAGTACTTTTTTCAACGGATTCCCTTCTAAATAAATAAATTCATTAGCATGCAGTCATCCCGCAATTGAATAAGCGTAGAAATATCAGACAACGATGTGTACAAACAAATTTTACGGATATCCAAGCACAACAATTTCTTCGCTTCGTCATCGACCAAACAGGATCCGGGATAGGGGAGCAAGACTTTTGGAAAATCGAATGATTAGGCAGCAAACAAACGGAACTGACTTGAAAACGACAAGTGTGAAAAAGTGTGGAAGACGTATGTTGAGCGAAGCAGTTAATGACTTGAAGTCAGCTACAAACTAAAAATGAATAAGATACAAACAATGTTGTCTCCCAATTGACATCCGAAACAGTCTTACGTGGAGACGTTGGCAAGCCGGATATGTAAAAGAATATTGACCGCCAAAATGGAATTACTCAATAGGGTCAGCATGGATCCCATCTCGCAACACATGGGCCACATGAGATAGACTGCCGTTGTGAGGACCGGGATTTTCCAGGCCAAGAAGATGACACATCATTGGATAGATATCGATTAAGTCCATGGACTGAATGGTGTGATTAGGTACTGGCGGCTTGAATCCAGGTCCAGTAGCCAGGAGGAACGGGGACATTTCCGGTGAAGCCGGATCATACCCATGTTTACCTCCCTTTTCTAAAAGATCATACAGCATGAAATATTACTCGACGTATGGAGATATAATGAAAATAGTATATGTGACAATTCCCATGATACATCTAGACGATCTCCATATTTTCAAATCTGACTACTGGCCACAACAATGCAACAGCTAACTGCAGCCAACAAGCAGGGGGCAACGAAAGTGTAAAACAATGATCGATAGTGACTGATGAATATTCACATCGCGCATCCAAGAATAATCACGCACAAAAGTAGTCCACTTCTTAGAGCAGGCAGCCCGCTTATAGGAGAATTCTGTGGTAGAAAACCCTACAGCGAACTCCCAAAAGTGGCGCTGAATGACAGTCAACTCCGTGTGAGGCATGGACAGGTTTATGAAAATTAGTGCCAACTTTAGACTGACTCCAAAGCAAAGGGGTTGACGTAAGCATACGTCAAGTTCTAAGCTGAGTCATGTAAGCCAATACACATCACGGATCGAAGCAGTAATAACACTCGTGTTGTGAATAAAGCCGGTTGATCTGGTGTGGTTTCCATCACAGGATAGACAACTCATTGTCATCACAGTGATCCAGACCACTATGGGGACCGCAAGAGTTAACACAGGGAGACTAAAGCAGACAGCATTTACAGCGTGATTACATCACATATAATCAGTGTCATGAGGTCTTGTATTGTGCTAGTATATGCCTAGTTAGTCGCTACGATCAGTCTTACATCAGATTGAAATGATTCCGGATTCTGAGGTTGTCCGGACAACTAAACAAACGATTGGACCGTCCCGGGGGTCGCCCAACAGAGAAAACCTGCGGATTTCGATTGTCTGACACCAACAGATATTAGAGTATACGAATTTTGTACTTGCCCAATCGAATTGGCTGAGTAGAACCACTGTGAAGCGCATTTCATACGGGAAATATACTTTCGTAATACGAAGTGTGTTCGTTCGACGCTACGGGCAAAGAATACTTCTGAGTTACTGAGAAGCAAACACACAGACTGAGGGGCTGATCATACCTAATCTGATGAAATGATTTCTGTGCGAAACGGCCCCATCAAACAAGCATAATAAACGGGATTTAACCTCCAGCGACAAAATACGGAAACCTAATACAATTGATCCGACCAACTGGGCCCCTCATTGTGCTTCGTGCCCATCCTCCTAGTCGGCTGAATCATATTCCTTGATAACCCGATGCAAAATTTCTCAAAATGCTTTGCCCGTAGCGTGTTGCATCTTCAGACCTGTCCATATTTCCACAAGGACTGCCCATATTTCTGCTGTCCCATATGCCATGGGAACTAGGCTGGCACACACAGAACCAGCCACGCCTGAGTACACATCAGCTGATATGACTACACAGATTATACTGAATGCGAAATGCTTTTTACTTCTAATCCTCAAAATTGTGCTCGCCGTCAAACCGGTGACACGTCTAGATTCGTGATGAGGATTTCGCTGCATCATTGATAAACAATTTTTCCTCTCGATTTTCATGGCCGACAACCTGTCCGATCTATCCACGCATATCTTACTCAGTTCTGGTTAGAAAACACCACTCTGTAGGGCCAAAAAAACGAGTTCGCCTTTCATTCAACAACAAAACTTACTGAATTTAATTCTATCTTCCACCGACTTCACAATCACCCAACCGACATCAGCAACCACAATGACCGGAGCAATGCGCGGACTGCGTGAATAGAACAATCGTTCCGGTATGTCTTCTTTCCTATAAGCACGCATTTTCGGGTGTCTGTTCTCCAACCGATCAACAATGTCATCTGAAGTGAAATCTTTTTAGTGTGCACTATCACGAATAGCCAGCAACATACTTGCTTCTCAGAGAGTGTGCCAGCTTCGGGCTCTTTTGGACTCGTTCTAGCAGATACTCCACCTCGTTGTTCAGCGTTCCGATAGCCTTCAGAACTTCGGTCGAATCAGGACCGTATCTATGACCGGTTAAGTCCGGTTCGATGTGGTAGAGCAGCGCAAGATTTACGTCAGTCTCGAGCCAACCAATCACGTCATCGATTGACTTTCGCAGAGGAATAGTCGGGTCGAAAGCAGGGTAACTGATGGAAGGAAGAATGTTTTTGATTGGTGCAAACGCTCCTGTCCATGACGTCATAGCCGTGCGATGACCGTGTAATTGATTCGTCACCCAGATAGGCTCAGCCCCAACATCGAACCAGACTGACTCCTTCGCCTGAGTTCCATTGCTGAACGCAAACGTCCGGTTGAGCATCGGGTCGAAGAATGAATTATCCACGATCCCATGAGACTCCGGATGTTGACCAGTCACCATCGAGAAGTGATTCGACGAGGTGCTCGTAACAAATTCATTTTTCACGCACGACACTCGAAAGCCGGATCCCCAGATTTTCAAGAAACCGGAGATATTAACACCAGACGACGAAGCTTTGTCCAGGTAGTCATGACGGAACCCGTCAAACGAAATCAGTAGAAGCTTGGTTCTTCCGTCAGTGTCGCTTATCGGCGTAGCACCAACACTCGAGGTGATACTCAGATAGATGAACAATTTCCAACAGTTAGACATTGTGACTTTCGGGTTGTTCAATTGCTGCCAACGTGGCGATTTTCGGCGGATGCTTTGGGTGCTTATAAATGATCGACTGAATCGACCCTTCAATTTGAATGAGGCAGCACAATGAGCAATCTTGTTCTCTAGGATATTCGACTGACCGATTTAGATTCACCTATCTGTAATTGGAAAATATACAATGTTAATGAGTGAATAAAGTGAACTGTGCTCCTTTACATTTCAGAGTGATTTGTTTTTCGGTGGTAGTCACCCCGGGACAGTAAATCTTCCACGCTCTGTCCTGGGGTACTGTATCTCGGACCACTGTTTTTCAAGGTCCGATCATCAGCAAAGCGGTCCCGAATCTTTGAATCCCCGTGGATGGTAATAGATTTAGCGCCAATTCCGACAAAATGAATGGGTTTTGGGAATCTGCGGATGGTTGTAGACAGGACAGATGGGGATGGAAGATCTAAAGTGCTCAACACTAGAGCTGGTTTTCGTGAAACCCAAGCACGAATATTTTCGGAAAATTCCCATCCACGCTTCTTTCGTTTTTCGGTGGTTTAAGAAATGTCCCATATGAAATTGTCTGCTCAGCATAGTCACCGAGATCGAAACGATGGTTCACTGTTCCTCGGTCGACATTCGAGTTATCAACTCCTTCGCGAAGATGCATGTCGTCTCGCGCTGGAAGATCTGATGATTTACCTGGAGACGTTGCCATTGGATTTCACGCAACCGATGACGAATTTTCAGTAAGTCAACTCACACAGATTCCACAAATCACGGCAGAAAACTTTTAAGAAATATATACACGTACGTATGCTGGGAACGAAAGCATTGCTCACAGTCGACAGTGCTTGAAATTCCCTAATATCTCGAGAAGTGAATTTCAATGGGAGGTTTTATGGAACACATAACATCCTCTATAGAAATGAGCAGAAATTTAGACGCCGAGGGTTTCGTAAGGATCGTTTCAGTACGAGGGCTGGGCTGAGCATCAACCCCAAGCACATCTCGCTGCGCTAATTCGGGTAGGTAGCCATACCAAAATGTGCCTTGGAACATTCCACACCTGACGGAAGTCAAAGCTGCCAACTATCGTCTGCATCCAGGTTTCATTCGGGTGCTTGATCTCCAGTTCGATCTGTCCCTTTGACTTATTTAGCTCCTAACAGCTTTCCACACCGTTTGCACAAACCAACTCAAGCGATCATTATTCATACATAGAAACATTGTGCGAAATGGATCAGTCCATCAGTGCGAGGTTCTGAAAAGCACTTAATAACCGGGGTTTAACTCAAACAACATCAACCTGATGGTTCTCCATGAGCCAACTAATAACTTCCACGTTTCCTCACCACAGTAGAATAATTCACAATACGACTTGCCAGGCTTGGATAGCGTTGGAGCTATGAATCGACGTTAGCCGATAACAAATAAAACGGAAGAAATCGGCGAATTTACTCCAAATGTGCAGTAATCAACATGTTTGACGAAGTCTGTTGAGTATAGAGTTGGAGCTATGAGCGTTGTTGAAATGCAGAGTTCGTTATGGGGCGAATCGGAGACAAGAAGAGGACGGGGACGTATGGGATAGGATGAATAAAAATAGCGAATCGGTCGATCTGCTGACTTCGATTCCTCTACCATTCGTCCTCGATGTAGCTGGGTTACCGAGTCAGGACATGTCCAGCGTTAGCTAGCTGTTGTTTCTTGACCCCGCTGTTCGGATGGGCGGAAGATTCGACAAGCACTTTATCGTTTCCACCCACCAGCTGTTTTTAATGTTTTTGTTGTGTCAAACTAGTCAGGGACATCTCGGATGCAGTTTCTCGATCAGGCTAATCACCGCTGTCATTATCTGGTGTTTCAGTTTGTGTCACATTGCTTTAAGTGGGTTTGCTGGATTGAAAGCAGTCAACGCGGAGGTCAGTTGATGTTTGTATATCACTCTGATATTCGGATCTCCCATTTGATTTACATCACTCCTTATGCACCCATCGATGCAGTTTGTGTACTGTCGGGTTTTTAGGATCAGTTCTGCTTTTAGTATCACTCGTCGATACACGCCTCTCAGGCGTCTCTCTGGAAAACGATAAGACGATCAATCAGATTACACAAGCCGTTGCTGGACTATGTCCATATGGCGGCATGCTTTGACTGGGGTTAAAACTCGTATTGATGATAGTTTTGGCCACAGAGACTCATCTTGCCTGAAACTTGCACTAAAGTCTCTCGAAAAAATAATCGTGTCAGTATCAAATCGATGTAGAAGTTACATTTGTGATCATCTGGAGAGCATGGCACTGAAGCGTATGCACTGTGCTCACTGCCGAACACTTACTTGGTGAGCTCGGTTGTTCATCACCCGTCGGGTATCTGATCCAGTAGAAAGTGTTACCTTAACCAACTTCACGGGGATCCCGTTGATCGGCCGATTATGCGCTGCTGAGTGTGACAACATCCATTCCGTATCAATTCAGTTCCACTGCAACTTAGGCGGGTCACCCTGGGAACGGTCGAGCTTGTTATTATCTTGGTCTATTGGGACTCGGACGTTTGACCACCAACGGTTAACGATCTACTTCTAGATCGCGGTTGCTTCCGAAAGACCTGCGACGGACAGATGATTGAGCACAGGCTTCTGTACCATTCTTCGGAGGCCCAGTTTGTAAGATAGAATCTGATCACCTGGCCTCAACAGACAGTGCCTCAGACAGTCCAAATACAGCCTCGGATGTTTTGTCATAAGAATTATTACTGGTGTAGCGACGAATACTACTGATGAGGCACGCGAGTAATATGCGGTTTTCTCGTAACTCTGCATCGCGGTAGAGTTCATTACGGAACTTGTGGAACTGCTTTGCAGCATTCGTTTACAATCGCGTGATGGTCAATGAAGATTCATGAAAACTCAAGAACACGGGTGAGTTTGATCAGTTTTTAAAAACAAGGTGGATCTGATTTGTCTACTTTCCTTCCCAATAGTCTGTAACTTTTTAGTTGGTATTCGTTTATAAACAAGTCTGCGTCGAAAGGCTTTTTTCCTTCTGCCAGGATGTATTCACAGTAGTTATTTAAGTAAGCTTTAACCAAGGTCAGTCACCCATCGTGGAAGAACCAGCCCTCGGATCTGGAGACTATTACCTACCGCTTCGTAGAGCAAAATAAATTTGGATAAACAGCCCCACTGATTGGCGGCTTTAGGTGTCCGAAATGTTTTACCATATGACAGGTTTTGGGTTATGAAACACCTTAAGTGTAGGATGTGGATGCGTGAGTTGCACTCGTCGCATTCGGTCTCCAGATTGCACCGATGTGAGGTGAAATCGCCTCGGTCATCATGACAGCTCCATGGCGAAAGTCATTTTGAAACAGACAACTGTTGTCAAGGTGATAGGAATAGGTGTATAGAATGGGCAGAAATGGCAAACATTGGGATTGATGATTGCTCACTTGGAAATTTGACGACACATTTACACAAATGGTTGCAATGGGGGGATTTTCCCTGATGCCTAATGCACGCTGCCCCACAGGATTCACACGGTTGAACTGGTGATATTCAGAAGCGTATATTCAAGGTAACCTGGACTTTGAAATTCATGATGTATTGCCGTTGGAAAATCGACGATTGAAGGAAACTTGGGAGATTCAGCTACAGATTCTTCTACGTGTAGTTTGATTCTTGGATCCAAGTATATCCGGTACCATTTTTGATATTAGTCATTGACCAAGAACATCCAAGAAATGCGTGCCAGATCACGGCTGTCCGACAGACTAGTTGAGGGGTGACATCAGAATTGATTATTTCTGAGAGGTTGCGATGAACAGTCCTCGTGGACTGGATTTCGGTGGCCAGAGTTTTTGAGAGACTGATAGAAATTCATTCATTCTGGTTATCACCCAACTCACTGCAGTAAAGCAGCCAGCTATTTGCAATGTGAGTAGATGACTGAACCCGGGAGAGCAACGAAAATCCATGACAGGCCAATCTACTCGCTTGGAAAATCGTGGCGCATTAGGGACGTGTATGAAAAACGAAAAGGTTTTATAGGAACTATGGTTAACACAACAAGAACTATCCATATCTTTCCTGTTTTTATTTTACCAGGAGGAAACATGAACGGGTCGATTCCGGTGAACTAAATGTTTGCATCAAACTGTTTTTCACGCTCATTTACGGCGCCAGTAGGTGGGATCAAACCTACGAGACAAAGAAACAAGATACTTCTGCCTTATCCATGTTATTCCAAATATTGATCTGTTGGGCGACATAGTTGGTGGTGCGCGAATAACCGTCATGGTTGGTAATTTATCCGGACACCAAACAACAGCAGTTTGCATGAGAGGTGTCCCGAAATTCAAACTGCTCAAATCTAATAACGGGCAGAACGGAACATGCATCAGGATCATTTCAAGAAGACGATCGAACAAAGCTCTGGCTCACAAATTCAACTATGTCCACTAGTCTTGCGCACAACACTTCTTCGTGGCGTGCTGTCGAGCAGAATTGCATGATTTCATTTACTGATTTTCCTCATTCTTCAAGGGATTTCTGGCCTCAAACCTGTTCGGTCTTGTTCAAATCAAGCGCGCCAACCAACGATCCTGAGTTTCCGAACTAACGACCACATCTCAGTGAGAGGGCAGCGTATCACTGCACCATCGTTTTCAAAGAGCGCATTTGGAAAGAGAGTTGACGCTCCGATGCTACCAGACGAGTGCTTGGACTGCAAGTGAAGGATACTCACCTGCAGACACCGAGTGACTGCTCGTAAAGTAGATCGAGGGGATCTTTTCCAGCTAGGACCCGCAAAAAAATTAATCCTCGCCATCCGAAAAAATTAGAAAAAAGAGGATATGGAATTTGTACTTTTGGTTTTCGTTGGAGAGGGTGAAATTGGGACGTCATTAATAATTTGGATGAGAAGGTCCGTTTTTCGGTATCTTTGCCTCCCAACGAACTCACACAAGTAGCTGTCCGCTGAAGATTGGTGTGTGGCGCACTGGCGTTTATTCTGCATCTTGTAGACGTGCCAAAGAGATTCATGGTTTGTGTGTGAGCTCCAGTCTTTGGATCCACAAAGTATGATTAACCGTTTCATGAGTATAATTCATGTCAATCGCCGATTCAATTCCTTGGTATGATGCCCACATATCGGAGATGCTGAGTGATCGCGAAGAAAGTTCTTCCAGCCAACAACGGTCATGTGGCTAGTAGATAATTCCTCTGAGTTTACAGGAAAGGCGCACTTCGTTTAGCCCTTCGTGAATATGAGTGATATTCGAACGGTCAGGGACTGTGACGTCAGCAATGGCGTGACACGGCGATACATTTAATGTATATACTGCATGTAACAATACACCTTACTTGTAGTCCTGCTCCTGTTCACTCCAGCCCAACTATTCGACCTTCCTATCAAAATGGTCCATCGAACCGCGTTCCAGTTAGTACAGTGAGTTGGCAACCGAGCGTCCACAGAACAGGTAACAATCAATCGCACGATAGTTAACTGCGATCGAATATCAACGGTAGTTATATTCGAACCTGGATACATGCGTGCGTGCATGCTATATTCCTTTCTTCGATGACTGTTTCAAAGCTGACTTAGACTTTTACATTAACACCGTAACCATGACACTTGGTTGAATTTGCATTATCTAGTTGAGCTTGATCTAGGTTTGATCGCTTGTACGTTTGCATAATCTAACAAACCTCCGTGGTTTCATTGTACACCGGCCGTTTGACCCGAAGTCGACAGGTGTTCAGCTGTCTGATAACCTCATTTTTCATATTTCCAAATGTACTCTATGGACTCTCCAGTATCTGTTATCGTTTATTTTTAAGACCATGGTCACACATTTAAAAAATAGATGCAAGCGACGAATGCAAAAGTGTGACAGGAGAATATGAGAGAAAAGAGAGAATCGTCTCATTCGATGTCATGCCACCAACAATTTCAGTCAGACAAGATGAATTCTAACGTATGTAAAAAAAAATTGGGCGTAGAAACACGCGTGTACTGACCAACAACTGAGGAAACGACAAACAATGCTGAATGCTCTTCAAGGCGCGGTAAGCGCTAGCACAGTAAGACTCACACATCTGGCACAAAGTTTCGGTCATACTGGGTGTGGTGTGAGATTCAATGGCGAGAATATACAGTCAACGCCATGTGACACGCATAGAAGTACGCAGACAGCCCACAATGGTAAGCAAACACAAGTCACTGACTGTGATCTTAGGAGGTACTAGTTCAATAACAGTCTCTGCGGAGTGAGGAAAGCATATCCCTCGATAAGAGAGGACCATCGATTGATGAACCAAAAAGTCGATCTCACAACCCATTGCACGTAGGGCTGAGATTATGGCGAGGGAATGTTCATCAGCATCCTATTTCTGCTTCTTCTCACTCCACACAGTCACTCCACGTCCATCCGAGACTATGCTGACGTATAGCACAGTTGCTCGGCGCTCCCGAAAAACGATTAGATCAGGCTTAAGAACGTCGAAGGAGCTACTCTCAACTCCTCGAAGACGGTGTACCCCAGTCGACGGAGACGTTTAGCAAGTTCCCTTGCAACCCGATTATGACAAGCACATCTGGGGTCATGCGTGATCCAGCAGGATTGCAAAATATGCACCAAACTCTCCGGTTGGCTACAGTTTCCACGTCAGAAGGTCGCCTAGACACAATGACCATGCTGAGCGCTTCTAACTCTCGTTCTGAGCAAGTTGCATCGGAGCTGGATACCGCGGATAAATATCTGAGGAAGCACTCGTCCTGGAAATACCAGCCATCGATTAGAAAAAGGCCAGTGACCAACTCTCGTAAACCGCGACCGTCAATGCTGTTGTGCAGACCATCACCCGAAGCAGCCACCAGCTCTTCCTTGGTGCACCATGAGTTCGGATCAGACGGCTGAGATCCCGAACAATCTTGCCAAGTGCGAAATCGTTGACCACATTGCGTAGTACTCGCCACTGGGTAGAAAGCGACTTTTCCATACGCTCTCTCCGCTGTATCGCAGCTGTTGCACTCAGATTCGAGATACACACAAACAGACTGGTTGCAATTAACCGCCAACTAGTCTGAAGGAAACCCAAAGCACGGGACACGAAAACGCACCAATCGGTAGAAAAACCGAACCCAAATCAGACAAACCCAAATAACTTTGCACTCGATCCCCCACACAGCACCGAAGTCTTATTCCACATGACTTTACTTTAATTTGAAACCTCCCATGAATTCCCGTTTCGATCACTAATTATGTTCAGGGTATTGTCTTTCGTACTGCTTACACAACAACATTATTCTTATAGAGAATTTTGTGAAGTTCGTTAACGTTCGTAGGGTTTAGCAGAGGATATGTATCTCAATGGACAGCCGAATTTATCAGAGGTTCTCGACAATTGCTTAAATTTACCCTTAAAATGTCCCAACAGAGGAGGACACAGTGGTCAGCCCAGCGGACCACCTCGTCCGACTGAGGATCTAAGTAGCCTCCCATAAGAAGCGTTTGATTTTATGGTGCACGTGGTCCAAGTTGGGATCATGAATGTGCGGTTATGTACTCAAGCGTTCGGAAAAGGCGAAGCCGAGCGTGTGTATGACGGGAACACGCAGAAAGTGTGTGAATCCGTGTGCTCATTCATAATCTCAAAAGACTTGGAGAGGCCTCGCAAGTTCCAGTTGTCCAAGAAAAACAGGTCCAGCTGTTGCAAATTATCGTGGACTGTTTTGTCGCCGCCTCATTTATTCCAATGTCTCCGATGTCATTTATGTTCAACGTCTGTCTGCACATGCCTATTGGGAGAACCAGCTCCGAATATAACAGGACTACATAACAATCAATGGAATATCCGTTTTCGTCGAGACAGATTTCATTGGTTGTTCTTTACTCGCCCTTGACAGATGATTTGTGTTCTTAGTATATTTTTGACCGTTTGTACGCGACATTGATCAATAGATCAGCCGGTTCGCGCGTTCGTTGAGTTTTTATGTTTTGGCCAAGCGCACCAGGCAATCAATGGGATATCCAGACCGGGGCTCACGTTAATAAGAAGGCATCCAGGAGACTGTGGTCCACAAAAATGCCACAACAAAAACCAAAGCAATCTGTGCACAAGAGATGCGATTTCTGCTCAAATGATTGGACGAGATGATTACAACCAGTTGATCGGAATTCACCTTCTATTCTGACTCCGTTCTAGGCCTGCTGGCATTACATGGGCACAGCCTGGAGGGAGATAGAAACACGCGATGGGAATTCTACCACCGTTCAATTCCTCACACAAACAGTTGATCAGAATTCACCTTCTATTCTGATTCCGTTCTGGGCTTGTTGGTTTTGCAGAATCATAGGCACAACCTGAAGGTAGATAGCAACATGTGATAAAAATACTATCACCGTTAGATTCCTCACATTTTACATTTTTTCAATGAATCACCTCACAGGGATCCCGTCATTATTGAGTGAAACTCATCAACTATTCAAAGATTTTCACCCAAAATATTTGCCCCAACTATTTTTCACGATGCTAACTAATGTTTCAAGCTGGCAACCTGTGTTTGTGACATTCTGTAAAATGCTAAAACTATTCTTAGAAAAAAACGCACATCCATTTTCCTTATCTCAAGGGAATATCTATGTTTATTGCCAAAATATGCAAATGACAGTCTATCTGAAATTTCCAGCTGACATGACTGTTCTGCATAATCTAGCAGGAAAGCGTGCGGTTCCTACGGAAGACGCCCTTTCCTTTAATGCTACCGCGAGGACTGGCTGCCTTCCGTCACTTCATGGAATCTTTCAGTCATTTGGTTGGTGAAAATATTCAGCATTTTGTAGCTTGTAAGTGTCCTTCCGCACCCGCCACCTGGTCAACAAACCGTCTGTTCTAGCCCGTGTGGTTCTTCTAACTCGCGCCTGACGTGAGCCGATGCATATTACAGCTCAGAACTCCGCTGCACCCGTGCATTGTTGTACCCGAACGACCGGAGGGCTGGGGCCCTAGTTTTCACGGGCCTGTGACACCCAAATGCACGAGACAAAAGTGTAACATCAGTGGTTTTATCACCGGGTGGTGCGTGCGACAGGCACAGCTATGTATATGTGCCAAATATCCATGCTGACCGGATGGTTGGGGACCGAGCGAGCCGTTCTGATTCCGTAGACATGTGCAAAGTATGGTGTTAGAAATGCGAGTCTTCACAGGTACTCTGAAGAGCAGTTGGATCGCATCAAGGTACTGCACATAGTTTGTGATGAAAACCCGCTTTGGTAAGAAGCATGGTTTGAATGTTACTGGAAGAATGGCCATCCATCGTTCTGCATGCCATTTGGTGTGCCTGAGCATCAAAATGCTTCTGTTGTGGATCGTCTGGGAACCTAGTAACGAGTGCAAAGTTAACTTTGAAGGATGGTGCTGCCATCAGTGAATGGGTAAGAAAACTTTTCGAGCTTTGGGTCCTCAGCTGCTCCGCGAATTTCCCTGCAATAGGTCTCGGTGAGTTCATCGGAAAAGTAATTAAATAACCAGTTGTAAATGCCACAGTTGACTGACCTTGAAAGTGGACAGGTTCAATCGCCTGTACACTAGTCCTCAGCATGGGTCGGATTGGAAAAGGCTGATAACGACCAGATTTATATATCCTCAAAAGGTTTACCCCAGCATACATATGAAAGGCAAAAAAGTTTCTCAGAAATCGACAAAAGTGGGTAGGTCAAAGTACGTTCATACGTAACAAAGCTACGTTACAACTGTCCAGAAGTAACGCAATACTGGTTACTTCTCATCGGGGTTAGGCAGCCATTCGCATCCTGCAAATACCTCAAGCAATTTAAGTTCATAGGCTTCCATTTTAAGGTTCAAACACTGCGTCACTTGCCTACAGATAGATAACCTGTAATAGGGACGACTTGCCCTCAACTAGCACCACTCACTTGACTACGTGACCCACCTAGACGTTCTGGAGCTGGCTGGAAAAAGTGTTTTCAACTTGTATTTACATAGAAAATGTTACGTGTCACTTATTCAAAAATTTTCCCTGCATTCCGCCTAAGGGTGGCATTCATGGCAATCGAACGTCCTAAACTTTGACTACTGTTTGGTTGCCAGTAGCTTGTGGCTGCTGATATTCACGGCAATTTCAAATCGACTCTATGCGAATGTGCGTCCGCACCTCCCATTTAGGAATCTGTTGTCATCTAGAAGCTATGAGGCAGTATTACTTCGGCTTTAGTTTACAAATGTTTCATCAGCAACCTTTTAAAGAGCGTATTACCCATATTTGCCACCTTAAGAAGTCGGTGCACCCTAGTTTAGATGTCATCCGTGTGAAAGATTGGATAAACTTACCATTACTTACTCGACAGGCTCATAGATCAATCACAGAAATGGAGCGTTTGCCGTAATTCCAAGCGTAGCGGATTTTATTTTCAGTTCTTTGGTTTTGTAGCAACTGGTTATAAACGTGGTCTACCATGAACCAAAGTCAGTGTAGCCAGATCTAAAAGAAACATTCAAAAAACTCTTCTGTGACCCACAAATCTGGCTGGTCAGCGAAACAAACAGTAAAGAAAACTTTGTTACTAACCTATTCGTCCGCAGATGGTGGCCTGAGAAATGACACTCGACAGAATCTGAAAACTGACCTACAACCTGTATATCGCAGAGTTAGCGTGTGTATCCCTTCAAGGGCTTGAAGAATAGCGCTGACTTAATCAATAGGCAAACCAGTGTAAGGGTGGATATTACTGATGAGACTAGAGAGTAGTGTCTTCTCGTAAATCCGCTTCGCGTCTCTTGAAAAGTGGGATCTGTAACGGAATTTGTGGAGTTGCTTTGTAGCATTTGCTTGCATTTGGGTAAAAGTAAATGAACTTCCAGGAAAGTTCAGGAAGATGGATGGAGAAGATGGATATTCAGTTTTGTGAACAAGATGCATTTGAGAGTTTTGCTCCCCTGTCCAGTAGTCTGTAAGTGTTCAGTTGGTGTTTCTCCAATAAACAAACTCCACAGCGAAAGCCTTCTCCCTTTCATTAGTAGTCTTCTGTGTCGCTCACATTCTACATATGTACACATGTAGCTCCGGAAAACGTTGTGTGCGTCAACCGAAAAGTGATCATTTTCCGGAGTCGTTAAGATGGTGGAAAACGGACCATCCAGTTGGCGACAATCTCTTCGTCCTCACCGATAGCCAGATATATGATTTAGATAGATGATTAAAACAGACTTGGATAATTTCGTGCCGACATTGCTACGCGACACGAAATCAAATATTCTGACCGTCAACAAGGCGGTATCGACTTCAACGAGTCCTGTGCGGTTAAAAGATTTTGCCACAGGGTTGACTTGCTTTGAAAGTCTTTTCATCAATCTGCCGGTTCTCTTCGGAAACTTCTTTTTGTTCTTGACTGTTCACTTAACTAATGCTATATTGTGACAATGTAGTGGTTGAATGTATCACTAAAGATGATGGTGTAGTGCAGCTTGTGTTTTCTTACTATCATACCATTGCTAGAGTCGCAATGATCAACTCACTACGAGAGTTTCCTCCACCCGGGTGAAGGCGGAAGTGTCAGACGGCAGTCGTTTTTCATGACTTTCCCTGATTTTTCACCATCTAAGTTCACCATATTTGGCTACATTCACTCGCTAGCTTTGACCACTGCAGTTCAGAGATGGTAAATTTATCGGTCAGACGAGAAATCCGCTAATATGATGCATTCGTATTTTCTGGGTGGCTGAAATGAATTTACAAACATACAACCTAGAGATGAGTGTGGCTTCAGAATAGTCCTTCAGCTCCACTGATATCGAAACACACCTTTCCGTGGGATCTTTTTCAGATAAACCTCACCACTAACAGAAAAGTGCATGTACGAATAGTTCAGCCCCACCACTTTCTGCCAGCTCCAATTTTATGTACGCACACAAGCTTGACCTATCTTTGATGAAAACAATTCCTTATCCGTATCAAGGCTCATTTTGTGCAAAAGTCTTCCCCGTTCGGACCTAAAGCCTTAAATGAACTTTCTGACGCTTCCAACTCTCGTTCATGACAAGAAGACGGCAATGCGTTTTTGCAAAGCCACCGAGTGATCTATCAGCAACGTTTATGCAATAATGGCCACCAAATGACGCTTTGAACTGTTTCTGACAGGTGGAGGTGTAATGCCCGATAGCATCGGCAAGAAATTGGTCTTCAAATGGGAGTTCCTGTAAACTCAGAGGAATTATCTACTAGCCACATGACCGTTGTTGGCTGGAAGAACTTTCTTCGCGATCACTCAGCATCTCCGATATGTGGGCATCAAACCAAGGAATTGAATCGGCGATTGACATGAATTATACTCATGAAACGGTTAATCATACTTTGTGGATCCAAAGACTGGAGCTCACACACAAACCATGAATCTCTTTGGCACGTCCACAAGATGCAGAATAAACGCCAGTGTGCCACACACCAATCTTCAGCGGACAGCTACTTGTGTGAGTTCGTTGGGAGGCAAAGATACCGAAAAACGGACCTCTTCATGCAAATTATTAATGACATGTCCCAATTTCACCCTCTTCAATAAAAATAACAGTACATATTTCATATCTTCTTTTTTCCTAATTTTTTTGGGTGGCGGTGGTTAATTTTTCGGTGGGGCTTACCTGGGAAAGATCCCCTCGATCTACTTTACGAGCAGTCACTCGGTGTCTGCAGGTGAGTATCCTTCACTTGCAGTCCAAGCACTCGTCTGGTAGCATCGGAGCGTCAACTCTCTTTCCAAATGCGCTCTTTGAAAACGATGGTGCAGTGATACGCTGCCCTCTCACTGAGATGTGGTCGTTAGTTCGGAAACTCAGGATCGTTGGTTGGCGCGCTTGATTTGAACAAGATCGAACAAGCTTGAGGCCAGAAATCCCTTGAAGAATGAGGAAAATCAGTAAATGAAATCATGCAATTCTGCTCGACAGCACGCCACGAAGAAGTGTTGTGCGCAAGACTAGTGGACAGAGTTTAAACGATGATTGACATGAATTATACTCATGAAACGGTTAGTCAGAAATGTGACGACCGATGTTAAAATGGGAGCACTTAGAGTTCGACAACAAAGTAAACTGCCTTATCTGAAGGTTTATTGATCTACTAACACACACTTGAGTGTTGTGTGTGCGTGTGTGTGTGTGTGCAGGATAAATGGGGTGAAGGTTGAAATGGAAATTCACGGATCACAGTTCTATCTGAGCTCAGAATCCGTGGGCTTCGACAAATGGTCTACGTATTTGTGTGGGGTACCATGGACCCCCATGGTAGAACAGCGACTGCATTAAATAAATGTGACAACAAAGCCTTATCGTAAGCAGTTAACTTGTT